CTGGGTATTCACACCACACATGTCGCCACATGGGCACACACACAGTGCTTACGGACACGCACAGGTGCCGGAACACACATCCACACACACTGAGCCCGAGTCTCTGCCTCACACTGGTCCCTCTGTACGTGAACAGCCTGTTTGCTCGTCAGGCTTCCTGGGGATGCTGTGGAAGCGCACCTCCCGCCTCCCGTGGTGGACTCACCTCTATCTCCATGGGCTCCACCTCTATCCTCTTCCATAGTTCCAGCAACTGAGCGATCGGCATTTTAAAACACTTTCCTTTCCTTCTGATCGAATATTGATAATAAGAAAATAAATAGAGGCGCTGAGCAGTCCAGAGACGCAGCCAGACAGAATGTGAGACGCGGAGGGACAGCAGTGATCACCAGCACAGCGTAGCCGCAAGGAGTGGATGGGGTGCCTGCACTGGGGGCTCCGGGTGCTGGGCAGGGTCCCTGGCGTCCTCAGTGTCGCCACTGGCGCGCGTCCGGCTCTGCCAATCCCGGCTCCGGGAGCTGCGGAGGGGAGAGGGAGCCGTAATGGGCTGCAGCTGCCCGGCTGCAGAGTGCACGCTCCACTCGCAGCCTGCAAACGGGTCCCTGCCCCCCACGGTGCCGCTCTCCTCCCTCCCCTCACTATTTTACCTTAATTGGCTCTCAATGGGGTGAAAGTTGAGTCTGAGGAAGCTTCTGCTGCCATAGAAACCGCATAGCAACCAGGGCTGGGGAAGAGGGAGGAGGGACTGAGGCAGGTCTGCCCTCCCTCCCCACCTCTGGGCATCCCCCAGACCCTCGGCACCACCGTCAGCCACCACTAACCAGTCAGGAGGCAGATGCGGCAGAGCTGCCCTGCATTCACATTCCCGGACCCCTACCTACTTGGATGCAGCAGTAGAGCAGTCACCTCGCGGTCCCCTCCCGGGATCACTGAGCCAAGCAACCTCCGGCTGGAGGGCTGGGTGCCCACGCCTCTGTCCCCAGCCCTCCTGACCAGCCAGCCGCAGGGCCTGAGCTGGCAGCAGTGTCCTTCTGGGGGAGGGTGCAGAGACAGCAGCTCCACACCAAGCACAGAGCTCTTGTGGGCAGGACAGGGATTTCTTGGGGGAGAAATACTAAGCCAAACAGTGCATCATGCACATGATCTCATTCAGTTTTCCACCTAGCCTGGATCTTACAGTCCCACGTCACAGGGGAGAAAGTCCTGAGCTTGGGGAAAGGGGGGTGCAGAACACACCCCCCCCCCTCTGCACCACGGAGATGGAGTCCTGCCTGACTCAGGCTGATGAGCTCAGCTTCTCAGAGGGGGATCGTTAATAAGGACAGTGTTCCAGGGAGACATTTCCTGCTCTTAACTCCCCGGGGTGAGGGTCTTTTGTCTCCCTCCATTTCTGCCATGGGAAGAGAGACTAGCGTGTGGAAACACAGCCAGCTCCCTGAGTGCTAGCCTGAGTGCCCTGTCCCTCTTGGGAAGCAGTGACAAAATCCATCACGGTTAACCTTCTCCGCTCTGCTCCTCTCCAGGAGGAAGTAAGCTCATCTCTACAGCAAACACCTGTGCTCTGAGCACGTGTCCATGAAATGGCTAACTGCTTCCAACAGTTACCAATCCATTTCTTTTCCATCTTTATGAAATCACCAAGAAATCTAGTTCATTAGAAAAACTAAAAGCTTGAATCCCAGATACATCATATTTCATAGCAAAACAACAGCTCTGAAGTTAACAGAGGGGTTCAGTACCTAACACTGGTTTTATCGTTCTACAATATGAGGGCAGTGAGGACCTTGATGATTAATTCTACTCAAAACAACAACAATATCATTCATTTTCAAATTGGACCTCTCTCGACTGACAGCAGAATGGCTTCCAACATGCAAAGCATATTAAGGTAACCTGCTTATCTGAAAGGTCACAGATTAATAAGCGACAGATGGAGGTGCTGTGTCTATCATAAAGCCAGAAAAGTCTCCCATGAAACATAGTGCTGAACAGAGATGAAGAACATTTACTTTGATGGTTGAAGGTGTGGAACTTCTTGTGAGCTTTCTTTAAAGCTCCTGTCATGCAGGAATGTTCAGAGGTGGAATGATTGGACTGGGAGAGCTGTGACCTTCCTGCCCGTCCTGGTTTGAACGGACTGGCGGGCGGTGACGACTGTAGGCTGGTGGTGACTGCAGGCAGGTGGTGACTGCAGGCAGGTGGTGACTGTAGCCAGGTGGTGACTGCAGGCAGGTGGTGACTGCAGGCAGGTGGTGACTGTAGCCAGGTGGTGACTGTAGGCAGGTGGTGACTGCAGGCAGGTGGTGACTGTAGGCAGGTGGTGACTGCAGGCAGGTGGTGACTGCAGGCAGGTGGTGACTATAGCCAGGTGGTGACTGCAGGCAGGTGGTGACTGCAGGTAGGTGGTGACTACAGGCAGGTGGTGACTGCAGGCAGGTGGTGACTGTAGGCAGGTGGTGACTGCAGGCAGGTGGTGACTGTAGGCAGGTGGTGACTGCAGGCAGGTGGCACGTGGCTGGAAGAGGTGGCTCACTGGGGGTGTGCCCTGGAAGGGTGCATCTTCCCTGTGGCCCCATCCCCTAACGTCTTGCCTCCACTGGCCCTTCCATCCTGAAGGTCTGCCTCATCTTCAGCCCAGAGCAATGGAGTCGGCTGTCTACGGACTGAGACCTCTGAAACTGTGAGTCCCAAGTAAACTTTTCCTCCCCTAAACTGTTCTTGTATAATACAAAGCCACTAAACACTCCTGTGTTTAGTGGAGGGAGGGGGAAATAGGGTTTTTTGCTGTGTGTCTATAAAGTCTACAATTTCTGGAACTTTCCACGGGTACTCTGACACTGACAGATTGAGAGAAATATGGTCCTTTTGTTTGAGGAAGAAATAAGGAGAAGAGCTCTGTTTAGGGCCTCTTCTGAGTAGCCATACTTCCTGAGAAACTTGAAGAAACCTCATGCGTAGGAGGCTTGGGGTTGAAGACCTTGGCAGGATCAACTGTCACCAAACACAGGAGCTATGATCGCACGGAGCATGTTGAGAAGTGCCGAAAATATGGCCCATGATTTAGTCTCTTTCTAAACTGTGCAAATGTGACTTGGACACGGCTGCACCCCTTCTGGACCTCTCCAGGTGAAGAGGAGCCTGAAGAACAGGAGGGACTTCACCAACCCGGCGTCTCTCCTGCCTCTCCATGCTTCCTTCACTCCGAGCCACTGCCTTTGAGGACACAAGACGGTCGTTCAACGGCAAACCGCCTCCCGCCATCCTGGAGGCAGTCCCAGCGCAGGCCGGCTGGGTGGGAGAGGGAAGGACCCACAGCAGCTGCCCATGACCCAAGGGAAAAACAAAACTTAAAAAGAGAACTTTCAAGAGGAAATTATGCATCCAGGAAGGTGTTAGCCCCGTTTATAAAGCATGCATTAGAAAAGATGACACATTAGAGAAATAATGGTCACTTCTAAATCCCAGAGAGGATAAGAATCCCAATAAAGGACCAAAGACATTTGGTATGTTGGGATAAGAGTGTTCAATTCAACCAAATCCCAGGAAACTCCCCAGGAACACCCTCTTCAAAGCTGATTTCCAAGAACTCACCTCGCAAGCATCAATTTCCCAGAAAAAAAAGAACAGTTGAAGCATTCTTGTTCAAAATGGATCTTTAATGAAATGAACCTGCAGACTAAACGCAGCAGGAAGCACTGCCAGAGAGCCAGGTCACCAAGTCCTGGGGCAGGAGATGCGCTGGCATCAGGCTCAGTGAAACCCAGCCCCACGCGGAAAGCACTCCCTTGTTCAAGTGAAACCAAGAGCACTCCTGTGCTCATCCCTTAAATCTTCCTTGGGAGAGGAGGAGGAGGAAGGAAGGGCAGGAGGGAAAGAAGGAGCCTGTACCCCATGGATTTCTACAACCAAAGGGAAGCCGACCTTCCCTAGGGCAGCGTGGGGTGGGAGCTGGTACTGGTTCTGCGCCTGCACCCAGGGCTGTCTTCAGCCGCCCCCTACAGTGCAGCTTCCTGCTCTGCATAATGGCAGGAGCAGCAGCAGCTGTGACGGCAGGGCCATGTCATGTTCTGTGACCCGAGGGCAAAGGCCCAGCTGAATGGGCCATCCTGGGCTTGAGATGGTGAGGCCTCTCGACCTCATTGGTGACCTTGACAGACATTTTCATAAGACTCCCCAGTCACCCTGGTGGTCCTACCGTGAAGGTGGAGATGTACAAAATATTTGGTAAAATAAGAGAAAACACTGACTTCTAGTGGAGTTGTCGCAGCTGAGCCATTTCCTCTCTCCAAAAATCTCTAAAATCCTCAGAACCAAGTGCATTGTAACAAAAAGGCACGTGACTGTGTCATGGGCTGAATCTGCCCGTGGCCCACAGGCCCAGCTGACATCCGGCTCTCCCTCTGAGGATGCCACCTGACGTGGAATCAGGGTCCATGTGATGTGGCCAGCTAAGGAGAGAGGACATTTCTCTTGTGTAGGCCACTCTGTGGGATTTGGCTGTGCAGAGACTGAGATGGGGAGAGAACATAACAACAGATCCAAAAGCACTGAAATTCTACAGTGTTCAGGAACCGGAACTCCAGAATAAAACTGGTACATAAGAAGCCTGCATTGACATCGTCCTCTGCAGGGGCCAGTTAAACACAGGGACGTCATTTTAGCTCGCAACTGTTGCGCTTCAAAGCAGCACTCAGAGGCTTACAGAAACCATTTCATCCACTAACAGTCTGCAGTTTGGTCCCAAAAGACACAATGGCGTTTGGGACCCAAGCCAGTTCTGTGCAGGATGCCGTCAAAGCCCCATTTCCAACACAACAGCGTCGTGGCTTGCAGAACAGAACAGCAGTTTTTTCTAAAGAAATTATTCACAAGGAAGAAAAAAAAAGGCTGAGCACAGAGTAAACAGCCTCTCTTTATTATGAAAAGCAAATTATAAGCTAGGGAGAGATTTTGAAGAAGGCGCTTGCAGCCTTCAACTAACATTCTCATCTCACTGGTGAGGAAAGTCATGTGACTGGTGAGGAAAGTCTGCCCAGGACACCCCAATGTCTCCCACCCAAGGTGGCAGCAGCTCAGGACAAGTGCTCACGGGCTGCAGAAGCACAAGTATCCTCCTTAAGAAGGCACACATGCCCACAGAAGGAAGTGGAACCTCAACTCCCCTTTCCAGTTGCACCTCTGACAGCTCAAGACATGTCCCAGAAGCTAACACAAAATTACTAAAACAGCAAAACAAAACAAAACAAACAAACAAACAAAAAACCCCGCCTGGTGTTTACCAGGCTTTCAGCTGGGACTCCTCCTAACTTAGGGATCCTGCAGAGAGGTACTAAAAACCCTGTGCCCTTTCCTAATGAGGCACACCAAGCAGTAATTGCCAATTGGGTAATTCCAGGGGTTTATTTAATTTAGCTCAAGCCAAACATATCTGTTGCAAAATTTGCTTCAGCTTTCATGAGCCTAATCATATAGCAATGCAACGAACACAACAGGAACAAACCATCGTTTGGAAGATTTGACATTTGCTGTTCCCCAAAGCCACACTAAAAGATGTTATCACTGTAGATCCAAGCCCTTCTGTTGGAATTCAGCAAAGCAAACACGGCCTTCAATAACATTTTAAAAGCAAGGTGTATTTCTAGATTTTTAAAATCATTTCATTGCTGGTGTTTATTTTTTTTTATGTGGTGATGGGGATTGAACCCGGGACTTCATGCATGCTAGGAAGTGTTTTACCACTGAACCATCTTCCCAGCTATTAAAAATGTTTTTTTTTAAATGTGTTCTCTATTGAACAAACTCAAGTTCTTTTGAAAATAAAAGTCTGTATGTGTATTGATAGCTGACCTGAAGGCGAAAATGCTTTAAAATTGAAGCTGCAGAGACAGAGCTACCCGCTGGGAGAAGTGAAGGGTACCTGTGCCAGCGCTCCCCAGTGGCATGCGAGATTTTCACTAAGGCTTGCTGTGCTTTAATGATGGCCACCTGTCTTTATTAAAAAGGAGATGATCCTGAGTTATCAGTGGGAGGGCCAAGGTGTGGTGAGGGGTCTCACAAAGAGAGTGCACATGTGCGTGAACAGGACCTGGCAAATTCTCAAAACCGCAGCACTTCCTGTCTAGAACACCAAAGTCACTAGGAGCACGGCAATGGTGGGACTCTTCCAGCTACTCTGCGGAGCCAGTTCTCTGCTCCTGGTGACAGTCCTGGGAGTGTCCTGGGAAGTGCGCACATGACAGCATGGCGGGGCCGGTGCTGCAGAGGGCTGCTGGATGCACAGGAGAGGTCTGGGCTGGGGCGTCATTGGGTTCCACAGCACTTAGGCTTCCTGAGGGAGGAGGAGGCCCGGAGCTGCAGGGGAGGGGAACTCCTGCAGGAGGCCTCCCAGCACAACTCCCGAGGCCACCCTCGCCCTCCCGATTGCAGGGGCTAGGGGGATTTTAGGTCTTACTTTTCACTGACACATAAAAACACAAAAAACTGTACACATTAAGGGGCACCATTCTGTTGTGGCCTTGTCTACATTGTGAAGTGTCTAACTCAGGTTGAACACATCGATCTCACAGGATCGTCACCATCTCTCCAGGTAAGAGCTTTCTGGTCCTTTCTTCCAGGTTTTTGAAATGCACGGTGTGTTATGGTCTGGGCCTGTTTTTGTTGCTGTAGTGTTTGGGACCATGGATTTAACCCAAGGGCCCTTTAGCACTGAACCACTCCCAGCCCTTTTTATTTGGAGACAGGGTCTCACTAAGCTGCTTAGGGCCTCACTAAGTAGCTGAGGTTGGCTTTGAAGTCACGACCTGCCTCCTGGGCCTTAGGATGCCACCGCACCACCCAGCCTACCTCTGTTTTTTTTGTTGTTGTTGCTGTTTTTGTTTTTAAGGACAGATTGATGCCTGCTCACCTTGTGGAGAAATGTGAGGCAAGAACAGAGCAGCCACCTTGATGCAGGTGCCACAGGAGAATGTGCCATTTCTTGCTTTTCCTTTTCTCCATGATGTGTTGAGCTTCAAGAATGACTGCAACAGGAAAAATCCAGTCATAGCTGTTCCTGCTTCAGTTTGTTGAGATACGAAAAGAACTACACAACGCAGAACCATGGAAAAGTGACCCTAGAACAATCAACTAGCAAACCTGGAAGAGTGGTCCCTGTCGGGAGCTGCCCTGGATGAACATGTCTTTAATTCCTGCTGCCCCGGGCACTGAAGGATCATCATTCTGCAGTAACTTGGGCTTTACCCACCTGGGATGATGACGCTGGCTCCAGGAGTTGGCGTCACCAGGTGGGACTGAGCTACACTCACCTGTTCCTTTGTAATCCTACCCCTTTGCCCTTTGGGGGATAGAATGTTCCATGAAACCTCCCCTTGTGTGACCCCTAAATAAGAATAAAGAATTCCAGGGGTTCTCTCTTTCCATAGACCCTCAGTGTTGGAGAGCCATCCCCGGATTATTGAAAAGGTCCTTCTGGGTGGTTACGTGCTTTCTTGTCGTTTTCTTGAGTTATTGGAATAGCCAATAGACTTTGTGATCCCAGCATTAGGTGGCCAGCTGGATAGATGGTGATATCCCCCCACACACACACACACACCACATGGTTCACTGGCACTTGCCCCTTTGGCTCCTGAGGAGGGCAGGGGAATTCCTTGCAGGGGAGGTGACTGGGCTGCCCAGGGGTGAAAGGTCAGAAACACGGAAGCAGGTGTGGCTAGCAGCAGGTGGCACAGCACCCTCCAGGGCTGGGATGGCAGGAAGTTTACAAGGCCAAGACCAAGAGGCATCTGAAGGGCTGGCTTGGCCAAAAGTGCCACTAGTCATGAAGCAAGTGACAGGCCTCGCCTGGTCAGGGATTGGTGATGCCTGGGTGTGCCCAGCACTCCAGCAATGGGCTAGTGACTGTCCCTCCTCCGTGAACCACGTGAAGTACCAATCAAGTCTAGGGGACAGCTGGCCTGCATTCATCAGAGCACCCAAATGCTTAAAAACTGACGAATGGATAATTCCTAAGGGAATTTTTAAAGGCATCAGCAAAATGGTTTGTAGTCTGTGTGTTTGTTTACATATGTGATTTCTTGAAAAAAATAAAAGTTACAAGAGTTTTCCAGGGGTTGGGGATGCAGCTCAGTGGTAGAGTGCTTGACCAGTGTGCACAAGGCCCTGGGTTCTACCCCTAGAACCACAACAAATAAAAATCAAAATAGAAGAGTTTGGTCTGGGGCTGTATCTCAGTGGTAGAGAGCTTGCCTAGCACGTGTGAGGCACTGGGTTTGATCCTCAGCACCACATAGAAATCAATTAAATAGAGGCATGTGTTCATCTACAACTAAAAATATTTTTAAATGAAAATTTAAAAAATAAAAGAATTTTCGAGGACTCTCCACCCCTTTGGGCTGAGTTCACCAATCATTCAAGCAAAAGAAAGGTGTCAGTGCCGTGTGCCCTCCCGGGGCCCAGGTGCGGGGCCCTCGTGCCAGGCTTACAGAGGCTTCTGCCATGTCCGCTCTGGGAGTGAGTCTCTGCCCCACAAAGGGGTGTTTGGACTTTGGAGGGTTGGGCTGTCAGAGGCAGGGCATGCAAACAACGGCTAGGACCCAACAGAAACAAGAACAAGTCAATTCTTGATTTTCTCAGTGTTTGGGGGGTAAAAGAGTGGCTTTAAATTAAAATGCTGTAGAATGAACACTGAGTATATTTGTGAGAGCATTGGGAAAGGAATAATCATAGCAGGGTATTTTTTTAAAGCTCTTATAATATTATTATATTATTTCTTGAGAACTATTTAACTTTGAAATCTATCTCATTTAAAGAATGAAACAAGATAAAGTCCTTGCTAGGAGTATTACTTGTTAAAAATAAATCTTTCTTCCTCCAAATACTTCTTTTTCCCAGAAAGTGGTCAACAGACTCCAAGTGTCTTGCTGAGGAATTCCTGGGAAAACCACTTCCAGTTCCACACCAAGCCTCCAAGGGCCCTGGTCACAAAACCCAGAGAAGCTCCTGCATCTGGCCTTTGCTCTTCAAGGACACTCACCCTGGGCAGGAGAACGGCGTCTGCAGCAGACACTTGCCTTGGCTGGGCTGTGAGCCATCGGCTCCTCACCTGTCCCACCTGGAGTCTGGCTCAAGTGCCGTGTGTTCTCCTGCCCTAAAGGGAAGAGAGTAGCTGCCCTATAGGGAGCAGGTGTTGGGGCAGCCAAAGACCAGCGTCGCCCCCCCCCCCCCCCCCCCCGCCCTATAGTCACATAGCTATGGACGGAGACTTCCTGGGGCTCACTGGAGCCCAGGATGGCCAGGTCTTCTCTCAGAAGTCATTGGATTTAAAGGGGAAAAACTTGAAAATTCCTGGTTACCTGCATTTATGGGCAGTTTTTCGCCTGCTGGACCAGCGTGGGTTGTGTTTCCCTCGGGACCAACAGGCAGCTTTGCCTAGTCCTACAGCATCAGACCTTCTGGTCCTAAATTCCACCGCAGTGGTCCTAACACCTGGGGAGGCCACCGCCAAGGACGTGCACAAGCCACACCCGGTTAAGAGAGCATCCTCCTGACAGACAGCCATGTCACCGCCGTCCCCCCGGGCTGCCCATCAGGCTTCACCGTCTTCACTTCCGGCCTCTGCACACCACCTGCCCTCCTTGCCCTCTGCACACCACCTGCCCTCCTTGCCCTCTGCACACCACCTGCCCTCCTTGCCCTCTGCACACCACCTGGCCTCCTTGCCCTCTGCACACCACCTGCCCTCCTTGCCCTCTGCACACCACCTGCCCTCCTTGCCCTCTGCACACCGCCTGGCCTCCTTGCCCTCTGGACACCACCTGCCCTCCTTGCCCTCTGGACACCACCTGCCCTCCTTGCCCTCTGCACACCACCTGGCCTCCTTGCCCTCTGCACACCACCTGCCCTCCTTGCCCTCTGCACACCACCTGCCCTCCTTGCCCTCTGCACACCACCTGGCCTCCTTGCCCTCTGCACACCACCTGGCCTCCTTGCCTGGCCAGCCTGGCCTCTGCTGGCTCCAGTGGGGCCCGGGCTGGAAGCAGTCCTTGCTCCCGTGAACCTTGCTAGATTCCCTGTCTCAAGTCTCCTCTTTACAGTGGGCTTCTTGGGTGACAGAATGGCCCGTGGAGCCGGGCAAGCTCCAGCACCCTCGGCAGGGGGATTCTGCAGGCTTTTCCAGACGTTATATGGATCCTCAGGTGCAGTATCGAAATGTAGTTCACACTGACGTGCTTTTCCAGATGTCCACCTCACCTCTTCCCTGGAAGCTGCCCCTGGAGCCGCGGGTGTCGGAGCAGGAGCGCGCACACTCTGTGCCAGTGTTTAGCTTTGTTGTTCCCATGGACCCGGCCTTTCCTGTGAAACACTGCAGCCTGGCTATTTAAAACATCCCAGTAGCCTTCTGATTTGTTTCCCTCATCCAGCTTTTAAAAAAAGAAAAAAAAAAGTCGGCTTGATTCCGTGTAAACAGCCCTTTGTCTTGTGTTTTGGATGCTTTTGTCCCCACAGCTGGCCATGCAGCGGTTTAGATGGCGCTTCTGTCAGCTGAGGACACTTCTTCCTCTTCGGTAAAAATAGATGTTTTCTGATTGGCAACTTGTGAAGTTTCAGTGAAATGTTGAGCCCTCTCAACCCAGATCTTTGCCCTTAAGACACACGTTCTAAATGAGCTTTGAGAAGCTACAAGAGGAAAGCAACATGCCTGTGTGCATACATATGTGTTGACACACACGCATACACACGCCTACACACACACAGGTATATATGTTTTATTTGGACCTCCAGATCTTGTGTCACTGATTATCTAAAGGAAATGGTTGGTGTAGGCACACAGAGGGAGGGAGGAGGCCAGCTAGAGTCTGGCCAGCACCATTTCCACTGAACCCAAGTGAAACAAAGCCCTCAAACCTTGGGGAATGTGAATCTAGATGCTCTAGACCTGTAGCCCACCAAGGGGGAGGCCAGAGTGAGGTGCAGAGAGGCAGTGCTGGCTTTCCCCACTGCTCAAACTCAAGCCCCGTCCCCCTTCCCTCAACCTTGCCCAGGGAAGGCTTCCGTGCCGGCTTTCCTAGGACGGTCCATCTTACCAACCCGGCATTTAAAATGTTCACTTCTGTTATGGTTTGGATGTAAGGTGTCCCTCACAAGCTCCTGTTACTGCAGGAACGTGCAGAGGTGAGATGATGGGATTGAGAGATGTGAACTCATCGTCCACCTGGTTTGAATGGAGGAGAGGTGGTGATGGTGGGCAGGTGGGCGTGGCTGGAGGAGGTGGCTCATGGTGAAGTGCTCTGAAAGGGCGCATCTTCCTGGTGGCCCCAACCCACCCCCCTCTCTGCTTCCTGGCTGCCCTGAGCTGGTGTCTTTCCTCCACTGGGCTCTTGTGCCACGATGTGCTGCCTCACCTTGAGCCAGAGCAAAGGAGTCGGCCTTCTATGGACTGAATCTTCTGAAACCATGGGTCCCAAATAAAATTTTCCTTCTGTAAGTTTTTCTTGCTGGGTATTTTGGTCACAGTGACACAACTCACCAAAAGTGTCTTGTGATCTTTTCCATCATTTTAAATTATAATCTGTTAAAAAAAATCTTCTAATAGTTTTTCAGTCCTTTAAATTACTTTAGATTGCTATGTAATAGTCCATTATGCAGTTACACCTTATGGAAGTCCTCTCTTCTCCACAAGCAAACTTTTTGCTTCAATAAACACTCCTGTATCTGAAGGTCCACTGTATGCTCAGGGTAAATTCCCAAGTGTGAGCCTAATAGGCAAAGGATCTGAAAATTTCTATGCCCCTTTTCACACACAAATATATATATATATATATATATATATATATATATATATATATATATATATATGTATTTTAGATGCAGGGTTTAGCTTACCAATAGGAGAAATGATCTCTGCTTTCAGGTGATTTTCAGAGTGACCTGAAAGCTTCTCCCAATGCACACGGACTTTCCTTTGGGGCTGCTGTTGTGGAAGCAGCTGAGGCAGCTCGGCAGGGCTGATGCCCGGACAGCCCGAGCCAGGCGGGGAGCGTGTTTCTGGCTGGAACGCTGGAAAGTATGAATGTGCATATTCTAAAAATGCCAACGTGAGTTTGTGGGGTCCACGATCAAGATTCAGCTGTGACGTACAACTTAAGAAATGAGTGAAAGTGTAAAGCCGACCTGAGAAAGAACAAGGCCAGCTGCTCTCCCAGGTACAAAGCACCCCCAGAGGCTCCCAGGGAAAGGTGAGCTGCAGCAGAACAGCACTGTGCCCGTAAGCAGTGGGCAATCCAGCTAGAAAACAGAGAAAGCACACGTGCGCTTCAGATACGCTAGGAAATGCTGGGTACAGGGTGGGTACTTAATGACACTGGGCGGGGAATCCATGGAGGGGAGACAACATTTTAAAGTCCCATTTCCCCAATACACAAAACTACTTAAGAATGCTTAAAGTATTTATTGTAAGAATACGAAAATGTAAAAGCAAAGAAGAAGGTAATGGTGGATATTTATACGACTTGGCTGAGGACTAACTTTTTTAAAGGATAAAATATAGAATAAATTTCAAAGAAATAGACTAAAAGTTGGTGCCTACATGGAACTTGAAGACCAAAATCACTATGCTAAATTGACACTAAAGGCTTACAAATATCACTTTTTAATAATACGTGTTGTATGAAATTTGAAATAAACAAGTCAACATCTTCAGTAGCATTAACATATCTATAAAATCTTCCCTCTCCTTTCTACCTAGAAACAGAAACTTCAGCCTTTATCCCTAATTGGATTAAGGAATCTCTTTTGAACATGAAGTCTAAGCATTTCCCATACATTCATTGTGTGTCTGTAACACTTTTAATGTTTTCTACTACATTTTAATGAACCATCTGTCCAAACGTTGCCTTCATCTGAGCTGAACATTCTGAGAAGTGAGGAGGCAATTGTGGGTTAGGGATAAAAAATAATAACAACTAGGTTTAACTGAGCCAGAGCAGAGCCAGAGCAGAGTGACAGATCCTGGCACCATAGGATCAGGATCAGGCGGAAGGGACCATCTCTGTCAGTCAGCAGGCAGAGCATCCAGCTGTGGGAGGAATCCAGGGCCTGGGGAGGAAGCCCCGCTTCCAAGCCTGGCTCCAGTATTTCCTCCTCCTGGGACCTGAGCCTGTATACAGCTCCTCCACAGAAGTGAGAGTTCGTGCATTATAACCCACAGCAGCAGACGCAGCTCCAGGGCGGTGCCCCTCAGCTCCGCGGCTGCAGCAATACCTGAGCTAGTCAACCGAGAAAGGGTTTGTTTTAACCCACAGATTTGGAGGTGTCCATCCGTGGTCAACTGGCCCTGACGCTTTAGGGCCTGTGGTGAGGCAGCCCATCACGGAGGGCTACCTTATGGCAGCCAGGAAACCAGAAGAGAGGAAGAGGAGGGGCTGGGATCCCCTCCAAGGGCATGCCCCCAGTGACCTGAAGACCCCCCAGGGGCCCTACCCCCCAAAGCTCCATCCTGGCAGCAAGACTCTGGGGGACATGCAGGGTCAAGCCATAGCAGTGAGAGTGAAGCTCCCCAGCTCCAGGGCTGCCGGGGGACCACCCACTTGAGCTTCAAGCAGCACAAAAGCCAAGTAGTGGTGCAACCCAGGGCCCAGGAAGGAGGGGCGTGCCCAACCAAGGGAGCCGGAGGATCTGGAGCCACACACCTCTGTACAGTGCAAGAAAGAGCTCTTCTGGCTGCGGGAACAGCACCCAGGGCTGACATCACACCCTGGCCGCCATGTCAGGAACGGGAGGGCCAGGCTGTTTGGAGTGAGGGCGAGCTTTTGACCTCTGCCAGCCCACTGGGTTGTCATGGGGATCAGATGTCGGTAAAGGAGCGGGGACTTGTATAGCACAATTAACTGCGGTTAATCCTATCGATGTGGGCTCCTATGCTCCTCCTTGGCCACTGTGAATCCTTGTGCAGGTCTTACACGGCACAACTCGAGGAGCGCTGGTGCAGGGCCTCCAGCGCTGCCCTGTGCACAGCCTACCCAGTTGCTGGCCGTGCCCCTGCTGCCCCAGGCAGATCTCTGGGACACTCCTGAAGCCCACACTGTGCTTGGTCACGCCCTCTGTTGCACTTGCCCAACTACAACACTTAACTCGATGCTTATCCTTAAAGGGACAC